CTAGTTCAACTAAAGAAAAGATTTTAATTACCTAATTGTGGCTTATTGCTTCTAAAGTTCTTCTAGGTGCACAGATGTTATCCTAAAAAATTAGAGAAGAGTTGAGGGTCATTCTCAGCTGTCCAGGGAAGAGAAAAACAAATTTTGATTTCTTTTAGCTATAGGGTGCAACACAATTACAACATTCCTGTGCATCAAATGTTATGCTTTGACAAGATTTCACAGCTATCTTCCTTGTAGCAATGATAAAGGCTACTAAGAAAAATCCCTCTCATATCACATCCTTACTCAGTAACCCTTCACCAAATTGTGACAACAGTGATTCACAGTGATTCACAAATTTTGATTTCTTTTAGCTATAGGGTGCAACACAATTACAACATTCCTGTACATCAAATGTTATGCTTTGACAAGATTTCACAGCTATCTTCCTTGTAGCAATGATAAAGGCTACTAAGAAAAATCCCTCTCATATCACATCCTTACTCAGTAACCCTTCACCGAATTGTGACAACAGTGATTCACATATTGTGTAAAATATTCAATTCCATCCTTTGGTGGAAAGCCATGGCATATTTCAAAACAAGACTTTAGTGGAAATCCATGGTCATTGTCAATACAAGACCATTGAACACATTAACATATGAATATATAATGCTCTAGCATTCTACTAGCACTTAAAGACAAAGGGCCAGCAACATTTTCTCTTGACTCCCCTACCCTGCCCCAACACCACTTCTAGAGTATAGAATGAATTACATAACGCTAGATAATATTATGACATTACCAACTTGATTCAATAAAACTAAGATATTCAATGTGCATATAAATGTGTGTGTTGCATGCTCCAAAGCCTTAACTAGAGACTTATTTACTTCGTGCAGTACACGTTCTAAACAGGCTCCTGAGTCCTAACCTTCAACCCAGGTATACACTCAAAAGTGAGATCATGAGAAAAAGAGGAAGATAAGCAGTTGTACCAACCCAATAGGAGCAGCCTCAAGAAAGACGAATTTTAGTCTATCGGAAGCCACAAGCAGCTCTAGAACAGCGACATACAGCCATACTGTGGCACTGGTTGGACGAACAGCACAGGCTAATGCAGCAATAACCAAAGCCCACCTTCTTGAACTTGAAGACATTTTGCCAGAGCTAACTCTCATGCATGGCCAATAATAAAGACTGACTATAGTAAGAACAGTCTCTAAACTGTTTGATAAAGTTCTCGTACAACAGAAAAACACAAACCAGTTTGTAAGGTGAGAGAAAAGCTGTGATTGCAAGTTAAGTACAACTCAGATAATAAACGTGTTTTGATAAACCATGATATTTAAATTAAGGCTGTTCCCGCCATTCAGTAATGGAATTTCAACTTGTCTTTTCGTGAAATGCCATTCCGTAACGTGTGTTTAAAACCACACCACATCTGACATAAGCCAAAATTCTCTGCTTCAGCCGTTTAAATCTGTTCAAAGCTGTTAAGCTAACGAGTACAATACATTTACATGCAAAAAATGTTTATTCACTGCAAAAATATGGATACTTTTCTTAATAGATTTGGTTTATAAAGGTACATTTTCAGCTATAATCTAAATATATGTGCCACAGCTCTTAAATCTACAATGACAAAGTGAAAATTTTCCAACTCATCACCTCACAAAGTAACACCCAACGATGCCCTCATTTTTCGAGTGATACTACATTTGCAACCCCAATATTTTCCTATTAAAATGGTCAATTAAAGCATCTGTATAAATCTAACAGAAACACCATTAATTTGCAAAAAAAGAAGCTTCTTTTTAAAAGAAAACCAAATAGAAGGATACAGTCCATTTTGCAACTTGATTCCCAAAAATCATGTCAGAAAATTTGTACAAGTACAAATCACATATGGCAGCAAAAATGGATTGCAGCAACCTTGGTGCTTTCATCTGAAACAATCATAAGCAATGATCACCAAAATGCTCTTACATCAAACAAAACAATTCAACAAACATAATACAAAAATAAACATTCCATCTATTACATCATGATTGTTTCTTGGGCCATATCATAACATAAACTCAACCCACCAAAAACACAAAAGAAATAAGGAATCCAAACAATTACCATAATCCAAGGAGTATCAAGGTGAAGAAAAGCCAAAACTTTATAAAGAACAGCAAACAAAAGAGGATGCAAGTAACCGCGAATTCCCCTTTTCCATTCCCATGTAAAATGTCCATATCTGCAATTTAAAACCCACATAAAAATGTTAAAAACATATAATTTCAAACTCGGGTATTTGAAATAATAACTCGAGGCATCACTCGGGCCAATAACTAGTTGCGTACCCAAACACAAGGCGATGCGCAACTTCAAGGGACTGCCAATGCTCATCAGGGTTAAAGTAAGTCTGCACCAACAATGAATTTACCATACGCAAAGCAAGACAAAGGTAGAAAACGGACTTCCATGATGCAGTAGAAGATTCTGGATTGTTCTTTGAATCAACATCGAAAGAAGCTGGAACATCTACTGTTTCCCTTTTATCAGATACATTTTGCTTCATTCTCATTATCTAATTAATAACAATAATTGGCATTAATTACAGTGATTAATCTGAGTAAAGAGGGTTTAGGACGGCGGCGAAGAGAGGAGTTGACCGGAAAAATGGATATTATGGAGTTGTAATTGAGGAAAGATGGAAGATTAACAAGAAAGGTATTATTGCTGTGATTTAGTTCAACTTAAACAAAGGAAAGGGGAGATACAATTAAGGATTTGTTACATCACATGTCAATCACATCTTGTTCAATTATATACTACCTTTGTTAATTGTTATGTACAACTTTGTAATATTTTATATCTCACAAATAATACCCCAAAGTTGCACATAACATTTAACGGAGGTAGTATTATCAATTTTGTATTTGTTCCAATAAAATCTAATTAGAGGATAACAAGGTTTTGTTGTTGTTGTTTTGTTTCTTAATTCTTAAAAGAAAAAAAATAATTTTAATAATTTTCAAGCTAATATCCAAATCATTGGAGGATACTTTGATAATTAGCTTGGTCAAGTTAATGCCAAGCAAATTAGCTTACTAAGCTAATTAGCTTAGAAATTAATTTTCTCCAATAAAATACTAATTATTTAAAAAATAAAGCTGAAAAATCTAAATGCTAATTAGCCTAACCATTGTGGTATGAAATAGCTAGAAGAAATAATAGCTTTGCAATCCTAAGTGGTATGGCAAGCTAATTTGGCAATTAGCTTGCCCTTGGAGTTGCTCTAACATACTTGTGTTAGATAATTGAACATAATCAATATGGGTAGATTTTTTTGAAACGCCCAAAATAGTATATGAACTAATATTATGAAACGGAGGGAGTAATAATTTTTTTGAAAAAGTTGATATTAATAATCCTAGTTTTTCTCACTACTTTTTAATAATTCAACTTGGATTATTATGGAATAATTTTAATTTGAGTCGTTTACTTTCTTCAATCTCAATTATCAATAATCAGTTTAATGGTTATTTTATTTATTTATTTATTAAATAACACAAGTCATAGGTTAATTTTTTTAAAAAAAAATTATTAAAAAAAAAAAAAAAAAAAAAAAAAAAAAAAAAAAAACTAGCTAGCCAAACCCTAACCACACTAAATATCCGGTCACCCGCCCAACTATCCTCCTCCTCCGCCAAACTTCTGGCCTTTCCCCACCACTAGCATCTTCGCCCACTTCCCTCTAAACAATCAAACCCCCCCCCCCCTATGAAACCCCCACACAACCACCAATATAATAAAACCTTAGCCTCCACTTCAAAACCTCTAACCGCCACTCCCCCCTACCTCAAAGCAGCTAGGGTTTTCGACGATGATGAAGGGGCTTAAATAAGGGTTTTTCATTTGTTATTGTTCTTCTAACCAAAGGATCATGCAACCCAAAGAGTAAGTACAAACTCTTAAATAGACCTAGTTTACATTAATTTTATTGTGAACCACTTAGGGACACTATAATTGTTTTATCAATACAAAAAAAAAAAGTCACTATGTTAAAATATAGGGTTATTATATGTTAAAATAAAAAGTCATTGTATTATGGTAAAGGTCATAGAATGTTGTAACAAAATTTTTAATATACTGGTTAATATGAAAAATAAAGGTCACTATATTAGAATGAATCACTATGTTCAACATAACGCAGCACTGTCGGTTCGTATAATATTAAAGGTCACACAAATTTTAATAAAGATTACTATGTTAAAGTAAAGATTACTATGGTTAAAATTAGGGTCACAATGTTGAACATAAAGTCAGTTAGGCGCTTATGGATCTTGGGTTCACAATAATTTAATGTGAACCAGGCCCACACAAGTTTTCTTTTTTTCAATAGAAAGGATGTGTAATTAAGGTTTTTGAAATCAATTTGGAGATTTGATTGTGGAGATAATTTGTTGCAAATTGATTAATATTTCGTGAATTACTGCTATTTATGAACACATAACCTTTCATGATTTCATTTCAACTCTCAATTATCTAATTTAAACCTTTCAACGGATATATTAAACCTTCTAATGTATAAATCAAGTCGTACAATACTTGATAATTGTTTCTACGGTTACTTTATCCCTACTTTATAAAAAGTGGAAAGACGTTCTTATGAACAGTGGTCGGACCTTTATACCCTCAAAATTGTTTATTTACTTATTTACCTTATTACCCCCATAATAATTAACACACCCCCACAATAATTAACACCTTCTCCCTTCAGCTTTCTCTCTCCTCTCCATGTGTCTTTCTCTCCTCTGCATGTGTCTTCATCTCTGTTCATATTGCCGAAGAGAAGTATTAAGTGTTGAATTCAGAATTGCAAAGTTCAGCACTTCAATGGAGAATTCCATCTCTGTTCAAATTTCTGAACAGAAGTATTAAGTCCTGAATTCTAAATTTACAATTCTCCATTGAAGTGCTGAATTTTAAAATTGTGAATTTACATTTTCAATTGAGAAAAATTGATACAAGAAATGACATCAAAGAAGCATTTCGTGGTCCATCGGGTGGTGACGACCACGTTGAGGAAGGGGGTAGGACAGCACAGCTGCCTGTCGAGGGGGCGGCGGCAGAAGATGACGGCCAGACTTCATGGGAGGTGGGTCACCGATCACTGATGCCTCTTTCTCTCTCCTCTCTATACAGTGCAAAAATACAAGGTTTGTACTCCTGCACTAACAAAATATTAGTTCTGAATTGTGGTCAACAATTGGTTTAGTATTGATTTATACTCACAATTTTTCCACCAGTCAGAGATAGAGTGTGTTCTTCTTTTGATAGTTCAGTATTGATTTAGAATAATTAGTTGATAAATAATTGAGTCTAGCTTTTTAGTTGCATAGTTTAGTACAGAGTATTGATTTTTGCTCCTAAATTTGCCACCAATCAGATTTGGGCTCTTTTTCATTTTGAATTGTTGAAATTTGTGATTATAAATTTGAAGGTTGTGAAAAAAACTTGGATAGGCAAAAAGGGTTTTTGATTGTTGTTTTTTGTATGGCTATTTTTGTAATAGTATAAATTCATTGATTAAATTAGTGCTTTTTCTAGCTGGGAAATTCATAAAGTAAAATTGATATGTAGTTCATATTTGTGTATATCAATGGCATGTTTGTGAATTAGTGTGAATCTTTTGTTCAATTTTTATGTGTAAAAGTACACCATTTGGTATATGGTTTCAAACTTTCAATACATCTAATCTTAATTGTTTTATTTTCCCTTGATGAATTTAAATGAATTTCCCAACATGCCCTTAAATATTCAGCGAAATTAGTAAAAGTACTTCATTTTATTCTTTGTATAGAATTGATATGTTACCGGATCCCCTTTTAAGCTAATGGGGTTTGATGAATTAATGTGGTTTTTTTTGTTTTGTTTTTTCTTATAAAGAACCGCTTTTAAGCTGACAAATGAATTACCTTGACTCTTATTGCATCAGTATGCTGGTATATAGAGTGCCAAATAAGGGTATTAGTGATCACTTTTTCGCCATTAGTTTGCAGAACGGTAATCATGGAAGGTCAGTTTTAGTGATATTTAAATTTCATTGTAGCAGTAATTCTTAATAACAAATGCTATATAAAAGCCACTTAAATTTACCAAGTGTTATACGTGAGATTAATTTTATCGAGTTCTTTCTTATTTTTACACGACGAGCATAGAGGAAACTAATTGAAGGAGATATAAATGACAATTAAATAAGATATCGTTAGTGTTACTTATGAACAGTCTTCCTCTCCTGTTTGGTGTTAATACAAGTCAACGATATTGTTAACAATGTGTACAAATTTATGTTGAAGTGGTTTTTATTGAAAGTAACGAGTTTTAGTAGCTACAATTTTCCTTTTGAAGTGGTTTTTTTTTGTAGGGCCCTGCTCAAGCTCAGACCTTGAGGGATTCTCTGACAGAGGCATAGTCTGATATTGTTGTCGAGGTTTATTGAATACTAAATTTCTATCATCCCTTCATCAAGTTTCTGTCATTACATGACGAAAATGTGTGATTTCAAGTTATATATTGTCATGGCTTTATTGCCTCTGTGTAACACCCCAATAATTCTCTCTTTAAACTTGTGAGGACCCTGAACAGTATTCAAGAGAATTACTGGCGTGCTACCGCCACGTGTTCAAACGTTAAGGCTTTATCAGAAAACAGCAGCGAAAAAACTAAATCAGTTATATATAAGTTTCAAAACCAACGAATGAAACCAAATTAAGTCATACAACTTGGAACCATTAAGACCCTTATTCAAAACCCAATAAAAGTAGTAAGTGATTAAATTCAGTGTTCAAATAAATTCAAACCCAAAAGAAATAGTGTTGAATAAAATCAAATTAAAATAAATTCAAACTTGCAAAAGAAATAAAATGCAAACAACCAACTCTCTACTCAAGATCCCACAACCCTGATGAATGCTGCATGTGTAAGAATCTGTGGTAATTCAGCTCCCCAATATTACAAGTGTAAAAATTGGATCGTCACAGGGTCATTGAAAGGCGAAGGCCATGACCAAAGAAAGACACACAAAGCACGCAATCAGCAAAGCTGAGTACATACAAGCTGCGAAATAAATTAAGAAATCCATAACATGCTACTAATACTCAATCATCATACATCATTAAATTATAGACTCAACACACGACTCAACTATTTATATTACTAAGACTCCATTAACTAATAATAGGTAAATCATTATTTTTATTCATTGGATTACACAATAGACAAGGTTGTCCAACCCATGCTCCATTTGGAACATCAATAAAAGAAAAACCCCATGCCTCCTTTCGGAAACATCAATAAACATCCAACGACCACGGGCGCGACTCCGTGACAGTAGTTAGTATGAGATCTCACCTAACTCCTAGTTTTGAAAAATATTTGAAATAAGAGACTCGTATATCAGATGACCTCGAGAAAAGTACACGGCTAATACCCCATGTACCCCAACCCCTGATTGTCATTACTCCAGAAGTGCACCAATCCAGAGTTTTATTGCTCATCCATCTTGCACTTTACGTGATTTACATGTTTAGACTTGGTGATGACTCATATGCATAACAATACAATCAATCCAATATCAATTCAATCAAGTAAACAACTTTTCAATTTCAATTCTTGATTTATTAGTGGCAAGAAACATTTATTATTTATTCCCTTACTACCACCTTGAGTGCATAAGGCACCCCAAAACCTTAACCTCGTCTTAGAAGATTTAAATTCTTCCTTTACTCATCCTGCTTGCATAATCATGAATGAGTAATAAATTAATCATTACACCAATCATATACCTTTTCCTCTAAGCGCACCTTGCATAATTAGAGCACAAATAATACTTGCAATATAAAATAGTGCACGTCATACGAAATTCACAATGTATAACCAAAATTTAACTCAGTCATCCCTATACATGATACTAAGTTTTCGATCCGTCGTCCTTAAACATGCACCTAAAAGAAAGGTTTCGTAACTTGTACGTACCTTGAGCAAACGAATTGGTATGCCACTTTACTAAGTAGAAATCACCTTTAATAAACTCCTCTCCTAAGCCAAATAATAACATCTCAATTAATACCCAATCAATCAAATTTACAGCAATACTAACTTACTTTAAAACCTTTAAAATCCAAATCAAACAACACTTTAAAACCTTCCCTTTAGTTAAAATTAAAGGCTTATATATAGTTCTTTAAATTTTCTTCATAAAAACCTTAAAATACACTCTTATACATGAAATTACAGCAAGTTCAAAGTCTAATAAAAATCTGAAAATTATATAACAACCCCTAAAAATCTCCCTTTTTAATGGGTGATTAAACCCTCTTTATAAAACATCAAAAGTAGTACTTAGAAACTATTTTCAGCACTTAAAACTTCAATAAAAAACATATATTTATGCTTAATTAACTTTAAACGTAATTAATTTTATTAATCAAACTCAAGGATAATATTTTAAATATAAAAAAACTTCGTTAAAATCAAAAACTGCCCGAAAATCATATTTAGAGGCTGAATTTGGCCACAAGAGGGTGGTTTGGTAGTGAGTCTTTCTTAAAATGTTGTTTTCACATGGAAAACACTACTTTTTCATCAAAATCGGATGAGTTCAGAATCTAATCGGGATTAAAACGGGATTAATATTAACGAACGAAAATCTAAAAATCAAAACACGAATCTACGTGTTCAAAATAATCTGGAATTAAGTTAAACTAATCAGTAGTTATAATCACCAAAATTTCAAAACATCATTACTATAAAAGCCCTAAATCAATTGTTCATAAAAACCCTAAAATCATGATTTTCAATAAATTGAAACCCTAGGTTTATAATTCATAAAATACGAAATTTATAACATAAATATAATTTGAAATTTATAATCTTTATACCATTAAAATATAATTTGATACTAAAAATATAATCTTTATACTAAAATCAAAACCCAAAACAATTAAATTAACATTAAGCAAAATAATGAAACAAAGGAGGATGAAAATAAGACTAACGTTTTTGTGTGGGAAATTTTTGGAGATTCATGGGGTATTTATAGGAGAGAATTATTGTAGGGTAAAAAAAAGATTGGGCCTCATAAAAATAATGGGTCGATTAAGTAAACAAATGGGTTAGGATTGTGTGATTGGACATAAATTGTAGAATAAAGGTGCATAAAATAATTTGTTCAAATAATTTTCAACCCAAATTAATAATTTGAAACTTTTGAAATTAAATTATGAAAAATAACAAATAAATATTATAAATAAAATAAATTTTCATTTATAAAATATTTAAAAATACGGGGGATTACACTCTGTGATGCAGATTGGACTCCGCAAAGGATCTAACTCTTTAGTTGACGCACGCGCTGCTGGGTTCAGTGAAGAGAATAAAACTTTAGGTGAGATGTGGGAGACCATTTCCGAAAGTGATCTTGTGATGCTGCTGATTTCTGACTCTTCTTAGGTTTATGTCTCTCTGAAATCTTGCTCCTCTGCATATTTGAATTAGTTCTCTGTTAATTATGAACTTGCAGTGGAAATCGTATCCGTAGTTTCAGCTGAATGTTTTATGATGGTTAGATTAACTTTACCCTTTCCTTTGTCTACATTTCAGGCTGACAACTATGAAAAGTTTTTCTCCCACATGAACCTAACACGCACCATTCTTGGGTTGTCTCATGGATTTATTTTGGGGCATCTGCAGTCTTTGGGAAAGGAGTTTCCCAATAATTTCATTGTGATTGCTGTATGCCCAAAGGGAATGGTGCCTTCTATAAGGAGGTTGTATGTCCAGGGTAGAGACGTCAATGGTGCTAGAATCAACCCTAGCTTTGCCGTTTACCAGGTTTGGCTCTTTTCATTGATTCTTGCTAATGCATTGTTGGGGGTGTGCCTTTTCTTATGATTGAATTTGCACTCAATATAAACGTGTTTACTCACTGCAGAATTTGTGTTCTGTTTTGTATCTTAGCCTTCTGGACAAGGGCGTTACAGTATATACTATTCTTTTCTATCAAAAAAGATAAATTATATCTACAAAATTACAGAAACTATTAATTTCAAATTCTATCTCTGATTGGTGACTCAGTTAGATGGATGAATTTAAAAGGTCTACTCAATTAATTAGTAATTAAATGAGAAATAGAATAATTCCATGACAACATTAGTTACTGCCCAATGAAGAACCAAAAGGTTGTTGATGCAGGAGTACAAAATAACTATGGTGAAAGGTGGAAGAAAGCAAGAAGGGATTCAAGGGAATTATCAAAGGTTAAAAGAAAGCTGAAAAGCAGGAGTATAAATCGGAGCTATTTACAAGCAGCAGGTTCTCGAGTTGATTCTCTTTTTACTTGTCCAACAACTGAACTTCTTATATATATGATGGGTATGTACAATTTTTCTTTTACCCCATGAGTTCCCATTTTTTTAAAACCAAGAAACTTCACATTACTTAAATAAGGGGTGTTTCATATTGTAGCAGATTTCCCAGAATATCCTACAACATCAAAGACAAGAATGAGTGCTCGACAACGGGCGATTTTGGGGATTCCAAAACCTAAACGCCAAAAGCAATCAAAGACAGGTGAATGTCTCTAAATAATAAGCTATCCATTTGTCTGAATTTTTAAAGAATTGTTTCGACTGAATGTTTATTTAAAACTGCTTATAGCTGGTGCCGCAATAAATGTGGGCCAATCGCTGCCTACTAAGCCCATGGAGTTGTCTGCCCCTCATTTTTGCGATAAGTGTTGTGCAAAAAAGCTAGCCTTTGAGTCATTGCATTTTTGTTGCTGTGATGGTGAAGTAGAAATTACTTCCAATGCTTTACCCCCTGAATCATATAAACTTTATACTTCTAATGACGATGATTCGGATCATTTTCAAGCATATTCTCGCCTTTACAATAACCTATTTGCTTTTAGCTCAATTGGTGGATTTATGGATGGGGATATTCATAAAGGAATATATGCTTTGAAGGCTCATGGCCAAATTTATCATAATATTCCTGACCTGTTGCCTGATAATGAACCACCAAAATATTTACAACTTTACTTCTATGATGCTATGTTTGAGGCAGAAAATAGACATGGTCTTTTTCCAAACTTAAGTCCAAGTATAATTTCCTTGATCATGGCTATTATGCTTTTGAATCCATATGCCAAGTTTTTCAAGTCTCTTCGGGAGATTGAAGTCACTGAAGAGACTGAAATCAGGCTCAATAAATACCCCGTTCTTGATCAACGTGTTTACAATGCTCCGACATCCGAAGAAGTAGCTGTGATATGGAGTGAAGGTACTTCATCTAGCCAAAGCAACAGCCCACATATCATTGCTCATGGAAAATCAAACAAGAGCCATAAGATATATCATTATTATGGCTGTTACGATCCGCTACAATACCCACTTCTATTTCCTCGAGGTGACTGTGGGTGGCATCACGGTTTACTAAAAATATCTCACGGAGGACGGTCCCAAGTGGAAGACCTTTCAAATATTGTCATTTCAGACAATGTTCAAGAGGCAGCTGATTTGGTAACTGAAGAAGGTTCTGGTAAGACAACAAATTGTGACTACTTACACCTAAATTATGTTATTTTTATTTATGTCATTCCCATATTAATCATCTAAATGTAACTATTTTTATAAAAACTAATGGAATTGCAGCTGCTGCTCGGGCGAAGAAGGGCAAGCTTATTTCTTGCAAGGAGTACTATGCATACAAGTTTCAAATGCGTGCTGGAAATTTCATCCTACGGGCTGGGCGGCTATTCTTACAATATATTGTAGACATGTATGTGAAGATAGAGAATACTCGGCTGGATTTCTTTAGACAAAATCAGGCACAAATTAGAGCTGAGCTATATCAGGGATTAGTATATACACTAGAAGGCGGTGAAGCAAATGCATCGAATGTAGGTCAGTGTGTTATCCTCCCTCCTTCCTTTTTGGGGGGGCCTTGTGATATGCAACGACGTTATCTCAATGCTATTGCTTTTGTACAACGTTTTGGGAAACCGGACTTATTCATAACAATGACCTGCAACCCAAATTGGCCAGAAATCAAAGCAGAGCTGGCACACGGGGAAAAAGCACAAAACCGACCCGATCTTCTAGCTCGTGTTTTTGGAGCAAAGCTTATAGCACTGAAAAAAAAATAAAAGAAGGACAAGTGTTTGGAGAGGTGGCTGCGTTCATTTATGTAGTTGAGTTCCAAAAACGTGGCTTGCCACATGTTCATATGCTCATTATTTTAAAGCCGGAATTTAAGATAAAGCATCCAGACTCATTTGACAAGTACGTTTCCGCTGAAATTCCTGTAGAGAATTATATAGGTACTACGTAGCGGAAAAACATGAATCATATTTATACAATACCTAATCCCAAGATCTAATGCATAACACATAAAGAACATATAATCGTACCTTTGAAGCGTGATTCCACGTGCGATCGAGCAAGAACAATGGGATATAAAGAAACCCAAGCGTGATTCCTCTACTTAGTCCACGAGCATGGATTAAACCTCCACTAATGCTAATGCTAGTTAGTTGTGATTGAACACTTCAATCAACCTTCAACGGAGATTTGAGCCACGAACACACCACAACACCACCCACATGCCACCACACGCGCCACCCGGGGAGGAGGGTCGTACGGACAGGGAGGAGAGAGAGAGGGCCGAGTAGAGAGAGAGAGAGAGAGTTAGGGTTTTTGGGAAACCTGGTTACTTGTGTGACAATTCACTGTATGTCAATTGTTCTGTCATGCAACCCTAAGCATGGTTTATATTTATAGATCATATCTAGAAATAAAACAATGTCAAGTCCAAAACCCATTAGACTCTTCTAATTATCCAAGCTCAATTATCAATATGGTATGTCATGAACTCATGAGGCCCAATAATGGGCCTCTAACTTGTTTAATCCAATACTCTTATGTGTGACCTCGTAGGATCCATTCTATAAGGCTTTGGGCCATTAAGCTAGCCCAAACATTGACGACCGTATATAATGAACTTATTATCTCCATAATAGTGATCCTTGATATATCTAGTAATTGCACTTATCGAAGACATAACTCCTTCAATCTCCCACTTGTCTGAGACAAGTGCGCAATATTAAAATTCCTTAAGTCAATGTGTGTCGATTTGATAATATGATTGCATCTCATGTCGTGATCATATTAGTCTACAAATATTTTCTTGAAAAATTGAGTGAGATTCACTGAACAAATGATTACTATGTAATGCATTTGAGCACGACCATGCATTTTCTGAATTCTCTCTCTTCAAGGGGCCAAGACACATTCCTATTTAATAGGTAGACTCAATCCAATCTTGTGGCAACCAAAGCTCCCACTCAACTCATGAAGCAACCGGGAAACACCCTTTATAATCCCCAGTTACGGCTGGACGTTTGAGTGTACCACAGCTACATCAATCATTGAATGGAATCAGTGTTGCACTCATGTCAAAGGAATCCACTAATATATCCGGAAGTTCTATACTTGAACTTCAAAGTAGGTCAATGGTTCGATCATGCATCATTTATGCATATCCATTTGATTGACCAAGCATCATCACTATGCTCCTATAGCCCATGAAACTGCACTATCCAATCAATCTTACATGTTAGTCCAATTTATGAAATCATTTATGTCCACTTTAATGATTCCGAACTAGGAACTTAAATAATTTATGAATTTAGTTTACCTGTGGGGTTTCATTCAACAGGTCATCAACCTGATGAGCCCATCAATTCATAATTATTTTGGACATTTTATTTAATCTTGAAACCACGATTAAATAAGATTGAAACTTTGTTTCAATTGATAAACATAATTCTGCAAATGAATGTATTACACATGTAACTTGTTTTTCTCCAAAAACAAATACAACTTCTAATTACATCATTTGCCTCAATCCAGTTTCATTAGCATGTTTCTCATGCTTTGGAAATGGAAGGGGTTTGCTAAGTAGAGTTCATGAGACATTCTCATAAACATGAATTTTGCAATTTCTTAATCTTATAATCACTTTCATCTCCATACACTAAGAATTTTCCTTCATCCTTTCACAAGGAACTTAGAAATTTCTAATTTGTATTCCAACGTTACATTGGATTTCGGTTGAAATCTATCATCACTTGTTCTAAAAACACGTGAATCAAATAGACGATTATATTCCATGACATGCATGATGCATCCTTTGCATATTGCATGAGGATCATCACTCAAAACCTTAATTTCATCAACCTTTCTCAAAGCATTGAATCATTAAGCAACGTATCATGTTACATGGGATTGAAACTCCTTTCAATATGATGTTGAACCTTATGAGAATCTTATCAATATAAGCTTCATAACCAAACTCAAACATCCTTTGAGACCTATCTCTATAGATCTTGAATCCCAAATGTACTCATCTTCTTCTTCAAGGTTTTTCATACAAAATGCATTACCCACCACTTGACTCTTCAAGCAATGAATAATTTGCTCTTTATACTAGACCAAGAAGACTTTATATCTCCCACTAAACATCTTGTACACACAAGACCTTTTCTTCATTTTACGAGAACATCAAACGATTTGATTAACTCACAAAATTAAGAATATTAACTCCCAGATGCTAACTTCAATCCAATAAGGATCTTTTATGCATCCCTATGGTTATTGGTTTTCAAAATCATTCTGATTGTATCGTATACAGATCTTCTTTCATGAACAATTTCAAGAAAGTGTTTTGAAATCCATCTACCAAATCTTATAAGGTAGTAATCACTAAATATCTTTAATAGATCTTTGCAACATGACTAATGTAGAGTTTTCGTCGTAGTCATAGTCATACTATGAATTAGTTGAATCCTTTAACAAGTCTTTGCTTACTTAGAAAACATTTTTCTTTCTTGTCTGTTTTGCTTATAATGGGTCTCACCCAATTAGGCAAATTAGTCAAGTGTCATACACTTGCTTACAGACTTAGAATCTATTTCAGATTTCATGGTTTTTAAACCACTTGGAGTTATAACTTGTCAAATCATCTTTGTTACTTGCATAATCATCATGTTCCAAAATGAATGTTTTTAGAACTCTTAATCAATATGAAATCATATTTCTTTGATTAAGTTTTACATATGCTAGTCATCGTTGTGGGTTTGACGCAACAATTGAAACTCATACAACAACTTTGTTTAGTTTTCAATGAGAAACGACAATAGAGGATGTGCACTTGGAATGTACTACCTTTGACACATGGTTATTATTCCCATTACACTTAATGAGACCACGCGTTGTCGTTTGTAACATGAGGTGAATCATGCTCATATTGTTGCTTTGATTAGATTATTTCTCAAATTTCTTCAAGATTTTCGAAATCATTTTTCTTGAACTCTTTCAAGGCTCTCGAACTTTTCAAGATTCTTATACTCCCACTTGCCTTTTTGAGGAGGCACTTTTAGCATAGGGTGAACCAACCATGGTTTGAACCATGTTTGTTTGTTGCTTTTCTCGAACTCTGTCAAGATTTACACTACTCCCACTTGACCTTTTGGAACAATTTCCATAAGGGCACCTACTTGAGCAACAAACATTTTGTGCTAAGTATGATTTGTGTAGTAGTACCCCGTGCTCTGTGTAGGAATTGATCGTGCATTAAACGATTTAATACAATATTTATTCCTTGCTTTGTATAAAGACTTAATAAGAACTTTTCTTATCCATATCACATATGAAGCCTTTGCTACAATTTGATTTGACCTATGTAGTTTGTTTAGTTTTGTAGCTTATCTTAAAAGTATATTCCCTGAATAATGTTTGGAAGATAGGTAATTTTATCCATTATCAAAATATATCTCAAATAGATTGATAGCTCCCTTCATAAACACTTCACAAGTTTTTCTTTCGGAGTTTGTCGTAAAACGATTTCACAACTCTTGGATGTTCATCAAGGTCTTGGCTTAAATTCTCATTATTACGATCATATCGCAATACTTTGAATGTGTTTCCAAGTATATGTCTTGACTTAAATTTTCACAATTACAATCATATTTTAGTGTAATTATTATCTTGTCAAGTTGATACTGAACTTCATACTGAACATTTTGAACTTTTCAAAATTTTCACTCTTATGCTTCAACTAAGCACAAGTAGTGATCGTATCACAAATGAAGTTTCATTGTCCGTCTCTAGCCTTTGAACCTTTGGTTTTCTTACATCGATATGTATTCGACCTCGAGTTCGCATCATCATTTCTCTAAATGGTGACTTTGTCAATAATTTCAAATTAGAATGATATTTACATATATCAATGGATTCATAATCCAATGATATTGAAAGTCTATCCCTTTGGATCTTCCACATGAAATGTTCATTTTCATTCGAATTAAATGACATATTAGAGACAATTTATATATAGAAATGGTTTAATAATTTCTATCATATAGAACTTTGAATCTATTTAGCAATCTCAAAACACATTATGACTCAATGAAGCATAGAATAACATTTATTCCACGTTTTTTAATCTTAGATGTTTAGTCATTACTAACATTGAATGGTATTTTGAGGCAAGAATGAATAACATTTATTTAATTCTTGCCCTCCCCCCTCTTTATCTTCTCTCCTCTTTCATTTCCCTTCATTTTCAATCTTTTACTCACTCAATCTATCTTTGTCGCCGTCACTAAGTCTCCCTTTGCCGCCGTCACTCAGTCTCCCTTATTTTTCTATCTAAATTCCTTAATTTTTTCGTTGCTTTACTCTTAAATTAGTATTGTGATTTCATGGGTAATGGATTTTGTGGGTTTGTGAGGGTGGTGTTCATGGCCAGATCTGGGTTTCTGGCTTCGTGGGTGTGAATTACGTCGTGGAATCTGGGTTCCTGGTGGGGGGATGGTTGTTGGACACTATGCTTTAATGTGGCAAATTTACTCTTTAATGGCGCCTCTTCCTTCCCCAAACACTACTTGCCTTCCTCTATCAGCATATTCAGGTTATTTCAACCATTTTTTTAATTAATTTTAGTCCGAATTTAACTATTTCTCAAATTTTTAAACATTTTCTAATTGTAATTATTTATGCATTTCTTTGCTTCTTTGTATGTTTTTGCATTTTTTTTTCTGGTAATTGAGGAATTATTTGCTTTGATTATGTTATGATTGTCAATTATATGCATTTTTATGTGTTCTTAAGCGCGGATTTTTGGCTTTTTTTTTCATTGATTTTGGGATTTTGTGGTGTTTGAGATACTATCTGCTTTGGTCTAGAAGTTTCTCACCTAAATTTAGGATATGCATATTAGGTATTATGATTGTGTTATATGTTTCA